GGGCTCCCTCCACCCAGGGGTGAGACCAAAGCCCAGCAGGGGCCGAGCGCGCCCCTCACCCAGCTGCTCCTGCCTCAGCGCACCACGGGCACGGGCCTGGACATGCACATTCTTCAGAATTCACTCACCCACCCACGACAGTTGCATTCAAACACCACGGGGCATTTCCAAATGTTAGTAAAACTCAACTTTGAAATTTTAAGAGTAAAAATTCAACACATGGACCATTACTTCATAGATAGTCTTGGCTGTTAAGCCATTACCATTCTGCTAATTCATTTGATGACCTTCTATTAATCTATTAAATAGGCTTTTGTCAACTCTAAACCCAACTTTTCTTCTGTTCACGAAACGCTTCCAATTTGCAGAGAGCAGACATGCCCATGTACAAATAAAATGCAGGTGCTTGCATGTGGACCTTCACATTTAGATCCTTCTGATTAACTCTGACTCAAAAGACTGATTTATTTGCATGGAGCCTTCTGGGGGAACTTGCTTCGTTGAGGAGAAAGCAGTGGTGATAGAACTTGGTGGCTCCGAAGAGGAACAAATGAAATGATTTTCCACATGACGGGGTTGACACAGCCCAGAGCGAGGTTTGCACATCCGTGTTTAGAGAAGCGTTTGCACGGATCCCGTGCCTTACTCCTCTGCTTCGGCTTACTCCCTTGCTGACATGGTAGGTTACTTACTACCAGATTTTAACTCGGGATAATTCTGCAGACTTCCTGGCCCCTTTCGGTTAAAACACTTGTGACTAGTCAGTCAGCTCCATTCATGCAAATGAATGAAACATCACATTGTCCGGCCACATGCTCCCACAGCCCAAGGGGCAGAGGGAACCAGGCCCTCCGCAGCTGTTCCCAGGAATGCGTGCCTCTGCGAACCCACAGGCGGGAAGGGACCCAGAACATCTCTGAGCCTTGATCCTCAGTTATCCCAGCCACAGGAACCGGTGCCCTCTCCGTCCAGGGGAGGTCCCCGATTCCAATAAAAATTCATCCTTGAAGATAAATGAATCAAAGGGATGCCAGCGAACCACGCTAATGTCAAGAGGAAATCCTGTCTGCAGACCTGTCGGAGGAGCCTTGCTCCGCCTGCGAACAAAGGCTCCCTCTGTGACATCGAGCAGCAGGTTGAAGAGCGCCCTGGCTCCTCGCGTTGGCCACCTTTCAAAACCACAAGTACATCCAAGGGCGGCCAAGACAACAGCAAAGCCAAGAGATACAGCCTCCACGTGAGGAGACCAGCTCCCCTCCCGGGCCCGCCTGCTGCCGGCTCCTGGTGACAGGCTTCCTTCTCCCCCCAGGGAGGCCGGAGCCCCGGGCATCACGATCATGATAAAATCTGCTCTCTCACGCAGAGTGAGGATGGTCAAGCAAGAGAATCTATGGATATGAGCTTTAAGACATTTTTAAACTATAAAGTGAGAGAGATAATAACTCACGCAAACATGACGTGTTTATATTGCAGTTTAACAACGCAAAGGTTTAGGTCACAGGGGAAACTTCCTGTGCTTTGCTCGGGATCTCACGGGGTGGAGAGTCAATTAACAGTCAATTATAATAAAAGTGACTTTTTAATGGTTAATAAGGTAAGCAGACCTGTTGGGAAGAGAGCAAACTTGCATAGCCAATACATAGCAACATAAAAGACACGGGTGTTCAGAGTATTCACAGGGCAGGGCTGCAGCTAGGAGAGCTCCCGCTGCATAGAGGCAGGCACACCTGAGGGGCGAGTCCGGGCTCCTCGTGACGGCCCCCTACCGTCACGGCAGCACCCAATGGGGCACAAAGGGAGGTGTTCACGTCTGCCATCCAGGCAAGTCATGAAATTAATGCCTTCATTCACTATGAAAAGAAGCAAGTAAGGCCAAAAAAGTTTACGGGAAACAAACCCTGTAAAACAGCAATATTCCCATTATAGGTAGACCTAACTAGTCTTCGGTCTCTGAAGACAAAGATCCAAAACTCTAACTTTCAAGCAGACGTGGCTCCCAGCTTCCTGGGCTAGAGCAGCAGGTGGTGAGGGTCACAGCTCCTTCTTGGCTGTACGCGCTGAGTTAGGACAGAAAAGCTATCCCCGCTCCCGGCCGCTCCCGGTGGCACCTTAGGCAGACCCCTCGCCCTGGAACCTGGGTTCTCATTCCGTCTGCTTGTCTCTCATTTTTCACACACACAAGCTTTGTTTCTATCACGGCTTGGAAGGAATGGAGTCAGCTTATAATCTTATTAGGATTACTTAAAGGGATTAAAAAAGAAGAAAATAAGGAACTTTAAACTCCTCAAAATCGGGATCACTTTTGAGGATGAAAAACAATGTGTGTTAGGTCATTAAAAATAACACTGAGATAGATGAGTGGGGAATAGGACTTTGTGATCCTTTGACACACAACCACACGCCTGTCCAGCATAATTGTAAAAGACAGGCATTCGTTGCTTTTTGTTTTTGCCTTTAACAATGAGATATTTTTAATTGAGGACAAAAGATGTGACTTAGGAAGAATGCAGCCCTGAGTCATAAACAAACGCACGCCAGCCGTGCTTGCTAGGTCTCCCCCCACCCGGACTTCAAACTCAGGACCTGCGCCCAGTCCCCCAATTAGATCTTTTTACGGAGATGGGACCTCTCCGTCCAAGCCAGCTGTCCATTAAAAAGCTTTGAAGTCCTGGCAGGTTGACGACCTGGACCCTGGATGTCTATCAAGAACTTCCTCAGGAGCGGAAGGGGGCTCCGTGACCACCCTCCCCTCCCCATGTCCCCCTGTAAGAGCTGGCAGCCCGCCAGGACCTTAGAAGTTGAAGAAATGAGTTTGTGAGTTGTCTGCGCCTGCTAATTAGTAGATATCCAGCTCACTATAAAGTTAAAAGACAGAAAGTGGCCACAGGAAGCTGGGTTAACAGTTTGCTCCGAGTCCACATTGTGGAGCCTGACATTTGTGCTTCTTTTGGGGTGACCAGACGTTACTTTCCTTTGCTGCCCCGTAGCTCCACGAGAGGGAAGAAGGACGGCTCCCCTTCTGCACCCCACCTGTTACGCCCCAACGATGCGACATGAGCGATGCTGTGCACAGGCGGGGCCTCCGCGTTCACCTTCTCCTCGGCAGGCTCTCTGAGCGGGGAGGTCGCCCGCCGAGGTTTTATCGGGGCAAGACCAGGCCTTCTACTGGTTCTCCCTGGGGAGCCTTCTGGTCTGATGTCGGAAACGTTTCGGAGCTCTCTGGTGTTTCCTACAGAGAATACCTGGGCCTCTCCTTAATTTCTTCTTGTACTCCTGCAACACTAAAACGAATTCTACGCTCTTGCCTGCCTGCCTCTCTCCCAGCATCTATACTGTTCTCTCCCAGCTTGCTACCCTCCAGCCACAGGCCACACCACCTTCGTTTAGGGTTTCTCAAATATCCTGAGCTTGTCCCCCTGATCCTTGCACTTGCTCTCCCTGAACATGGGACAGCCAGCCACTGGTTCTCCACACTGTCTTCTCTCATCGTGCAGGTCTTAGCTTAAATATCACCTTCTCAGAGACCTGTCCCTATAAAACAGACACAGCCCCAATCTACCTCCAGCATATCGCTCTATTTCCTCTGTAACACTCACTATAGTCTGCAATGTACTGTTTACTTAGTTGTATTTATTATTGGGGTCTCTCACTAGAATATGGGCTCTGGGAGGAACCTGTTTCAGATGTCTCATAGCTATCCTGTTAGTTCACATATTTCTCCGCCGTGTAGAAGGGCAAGAGCAGATTACTGGAATATTTTGGCTGCTAGAATGTGTTCAGTGTTGGACCAGCCCTTCAGTTAAATCCCAGAGGAGCTGGGCAGAGCTCTCCGGGTGAAGCACGGGTACTTATAAAACCAGAGTGCTGTGATTAATGGAGGTACTCAATGCAGAGATACCGAACAAATCAATAAGCCAGGATCAAAGTGGCCTTCTCTGCTACAGGACAGGACAAAAGGAGACACACCAGGAAATATAAGAGAAGGGACCACTCCCTGTCTTTGCCCAACAGCATCACAGAGTGCTTATCTTCCAACAGGAAAAGGAGTGCAGTTTCCAAATGAGCTCCTAACAAACAGAAACCAACCGCAGCCAGGTTCCTTACAAACCCAGAGAGAAGCCTTTACAATCATAAGGCTTATTTACCCACATCCTGGTGGGTAGAAGGAGAAAAATTCTACCGTATTCTGCAGCTGACCTGATGATGTGGCCACAAAAAAATTTATTTTATCATATTACAGCTAAATACAAGGAGATACAGGTCCTAATTTATAGACATCCTGGCATCTCTTTAGCACTGGATGGATGTAGTTTAGAATCTGATGTTATAATAAAAAAATATAAAAAACACCAAATTTCTGCTTCTCTTTCAGAGACTCAATGATTTAGAAAGTTGCCTTTGAAAATACTCTAAATATTAGATGATATTAAAAATGGTTCATTTGCCTGGCAGATGTGGCTCAGTGGTTGAGCATTGACATGTGAACCAGGTCACCATGTGATTTCCTGTCAGGGCACATGCCCAGGTTGCCAGCTTAATCCCCAGTAGGGTGCGGGTAGGAGGCAGCCAATCAATGATTCTCATCATTGGTATTTTCTCTCTCTCTCTCTCCCTCTCCCTTCCTCTCTGAAATCAATATAAATATATATATTTTAAATTGGCTCATTCAGGGTATTACAGTTTTTATGTATTATGTATTATGATTATATACATATTTTAAAGTAAGTCCTTATCTCCAAAAGACACATACCAAAATATCCACAGATAAAATAAAATGAGGTCTGAGATTTATATCAAAATAATACCAGAGGAAGGAAAGCGGGGGGAACAGCAGAGCTAGCCATGAGTTGATAACTGTTGAAGCTGGGTGATGGAGCCCATGGAAGTTCATTCAACTACTTGCTCTCCTTTGTACCTGTTTGACATTTCCCCTCAGAAGATGACTTTTTGAAAAGCTACTTAAGACGAGTCATTTCCCCTCACGAAAGGTAAGACGTTACCTGGAGGTGAAGACGTCGCCTTTCCAGTCCGGCCGCGGGTGCTCCTGGATAATGTCCTGGCTCAGGGGTGGGTTGTGCCGTGGGGATCTGGAATGGGGCAGGGTGCCCGCGTGACTGAAGCTGTCACAGGACCTGAGGGGAGGAGGCCCTTTCTTCTTCCGTGGCAGGGTGCCGTGTATAGACACGTCCCGATAGGCATCTGTGCGGTGATCGGCGAGAGGAGACTTGCTGCTCAGGAGGTCCATGGACGAGGCCAGGGGAAACTGGTGATTCACCGACATGTTTCTGGGAAGGCTCGCGAATTTCCCCGCAGCCATGCTTCTCCGCTCTGAAGGGAAATGAAAGGAGTGAAGGTTTGAATCTAAGATAATCCCAAGAACCAGCTTCCGACTGATGAGAGGAAATGGAAATGTACCACGTTAACAAAAGAAAATGTCCAGGGCATTACCATGACAAACACTGAATGGCACTACGAGCGAAATTTAATACAAACAGGAAGTTTACTCATGTCCTTTTTTTGATATTACAGAGGAATTCTCCTGGGTTGGCAGCAGGTCGGCCCGTGGAAAAGGGCAAACACTTCAGAGACTCTGGAGGCACATGAGCTGTTTTATTATTTCAGGCGGCTGAAGCTGATGGAAATGCATGACTAACGAAAAGTTCATTGAGGAGGGACTCAAGGTTTCAGTACCAAATGCGTTACAGAAAATGCTGCAGATACGTCAGATAACCAGCTCACGTCTTCCCACCACACTGGCCCGGTGAGGACAGGCGGAGATTGTTGGAATTCCTCAGCTGCTGGGACTCCCGCAGTGCCAGACCAGCCCCTCACTTGTGCTACCCACAGCAGCGGGGCAATTTTCCTGTCAACGACCTGGTGCTTATAAATAAATCAATGTGCTCTAATTAACGAAGACAGGCCAGGGTCAGGGGTCAGGAGGTGGCTACTGCTCCCTACAGCAGTGGGCTCAGCTGCAGAGGGAAGCCACTGAGTGGGGGCTCCATGTACATCGTCCCCCAGGGAGAGGGGTCAGGACCCGCCTAACACTGGCAGGGTAAGCAATGAGCATGGGTGTCTGCATAGTCAGGGAAGAGAAAAATAAAAATAAAAATAAAAATAAAAATAAAAATAAAAAGGGAAGTATGGGAAGAAAAGGAAAATGATACCTGAGGTTATATGCAAAAGCAACCCCGACAATTGTTCCCAGCTTTGACCACTAGTAAAAATGTTTTCCCTGAGAGAGTCAGCACCCCCAACGCCCCAAAACAAATGATGGTATTGGCCTAAGCCAAATTATATGACATTTTTAAAGCCAACGTTTGAGGAAAAGAAACACAGGCCTGAAGGAAAATTAGGGCCAGTCCCTAGAGTCCTATGGATCCAGCCTGTCCCATCAGTCATGCCATCAGCCTGGTGTGGACGAAGCAGCACGGCTAAGCCCGATGCCCGGGCCTCTGCGAGGCTGGTCAGCAGAGCCACCCCTCGCTCTGCAGTCTCCTCTCGAACCCGGCAGCCCCCGCTCCGCACAGACAGCTTTTCCCACAGCTCCGAGTGATCATGGTTCCTTCACAGAACCTCTGCCGAGTCAGTTCCACAAAGGAATCGGGGTTTGGGACATGGCTGGACGACCACCAAGAACACAGCCCTCCAGAATCTCCCAGTGCAAGAGGTGAAGGGGCAGAGTGTGCAAAGATTACAACTGACAACAAAAGCACAGGATCCACAGCTTCTGTGTGCAACAGAGAGAGTCACGTGAGTGCTTGGGGCTGTGGAAGGAGACCGCTCACTCAAATCACATCATCCTTACCCGGGCCTCAGTTCTCTGCTAAACCTGGTAATTCTGGGGCCTGTCTGCTCCATGTCTAACTAGGACCACACAGGAGGCCTGGCTCATAGCGGGCGCAGAAAAATAGACCGGTGCGGGCCCTTCCCCTGGGGGCCCCGCCCGGGGCTGGCTGGTGCCTGGCACACTGTCAGCACTTGCTCAACATTAATCATCATTATTAAAAAAGAAACCGAACTCCCCAGCCCTCCCTGCTCGACCACCAGTGACGTAAACTGACAAGGATTCCCTCACCCTGCACACGGACCCCACAGCTGGACACGCTCACCTGTCGGAGCTATCAGCGCCTGCTTTCTCCAGACAGGCCTGCATCGTTTCAAAGAGCCTTGTGGGGAGGCCTGCGCAGCCACAGAATCCCTGTGTGCAAAGGGCCACACTGTCGGCCAACTCTACTTCCAGGCTCGTGTGATGGACAGGAGCTGCTCTGGCGCCAGTGCTTCTGGCAGCCTGTTTCCTCTCTGTCTACCACGACCTTCTAGATTTCAAGATTGAGCCAAAGTGTGCGAGAATGCCCCACACTCCGTTTATTCTTGGCGATAGAGGGATATTAACCCCTGCCCCTTCTACTTTCAATTCAGCAAACATGTACGTGCCTATAAGATACTCAGAGAAACAGAGTCGTAAGCCCCAGTCCCTGAGAGAGAATAATTTAGGGACATCAACAGGGACTCATCAATAGGGGCCCTTAACATGCTGAAGGGAAGAACGGTTACTTTTTTTAATTAAATTTATTGGGAGACATTGGTTAATAAAATTATAGACTTTTCATTTCTGTGATACATCATCTGTATATTCAATTGTGTGTCAAATCTTCTTCCGTCACCCTATATTTGACCTCCTTTACTCTTTACCATTCCCTCATCCATTGGTAACCACCATACTATTGTCTGTGACTATGAGTTTTTGTTGCTTTCTGTTTTATTTTAAACACTTTTTCTTAATTTCAGAGAGGAAGGGAGAGGAAGAGAGATAAAAACATCAATGATGAGAGAGAATCATTGATCAACTGCCTCCTGCATGCACCCTACTGGGGATCAAGCCCCCAACCTGGGCATGTGCCCTAATCTAGAATTGAACTGTGCCCTCCTGGTTCATAGGCCAAAGCTCAACCACTGAGCAACACTGGCTGGGCTGTTGTTATTTTACATCCCACATAGGAATGAAATCCTATGAAGACCAGTTAATTCTGATAAAAGGATTCACGGAGGATCTCAGAAAGGGCCTCTCTGAAGAGGAAGGGTTGTGAAAGGTGGAAGATTGTAAGTAAAAGCCTTCCAGGAAGACGCTGTAAGGGCAGATGCATAAAGGCAGGAAGGCCCCACAGGCTCAGGAAACTGCAAGTCGCTGGTGGCACTGGAGCAGAGAGGATGAGAAGCATCTTCTGGAATGAGCACAGCTTGGGGGCAGAGTTTGATTCTCAAAGGCTTTGTCAAGGTGTCTGCACTTGACAGTAAGCTCTGGGGGGGGGGGATCTGGAAGGGAAGGACAGATGCCAGCCAGTGGCTGGCAATTCTGAAGGAGGGAAGAGGAGGGAGGCAGAAGTCAGTCCAGCTGGTGGCAACAAGCCAGCATGGAACAATGAAGAACTTGGCTGGGGCAGGGGCCAGGGGAAGGGAAAGGAGGAGCAGAGTGGAGAGCTGGGAGCTCAAGGCCTCTGGCTGGGGGGCCACTGCCATGGAAGCATGGAGCGATGCTGTAACACACCAGGGAAGAAGGGTCCCCCGCAAGAAGGTGGGTAACAAGCTCAGCACTGGAGCTGTTCTGTGTGAGGTCCCCCCAGGGCAGTTTGGTCTAGAGGGTAGATACTGGCATGTGCAGTTAGGAGCCAGGACAGGATGTAGATTTTTAAGAGTCATCAACATAAAGGGAATATTTAAACCAGGGAGTAGATCCCTTAGCTTGTTATTATCAGATGTGATAACAGATGTGAAAGCACCTCTTAAACTGTCAGGAACCATACAATATCCATGAATTACATCCCTACTCTCTCTCCCTGTGGCGGCTTCAAGCTTGTAAGGACCAAAGCAAGAATGAGTCCTGAAAATGTACTAGCTGCACATTAAGAAGCCTCCAGAAAGCTTTTAAAACCCCAACACCCTGAGGTGAACCAGGCCAATGGAATCAGAATCTCAGTGGGCAAGACCCTGGCAGAGTCTGCCTCCATATTGGCCACTGTGGAGGCAGGGTGGACAGTCACTGGATAAGTGAGTCTCTGGGTACAGAACAACTTATACCCAGATATTTTCACCTGGATGACAGAGGAGAATGACAATGAGGAAATATGATTCAGTCAAAAGAAACGTTCATTCATCCTTCTATTTAACACTCATTTCTGTGGTGAGCACTGTGCCGGGTGTGGGTCAGCGTCAACGATCCTCACGAGATTACTACTCTACGGAGGAAGCAATGACCACTGTTGGTGATCCCCAGTGCTACGGGGGCACATAAAGTGGGGACCGGGCTCTAGCGGCCCTGGGAAAGCTTCCATGAGGAGGGGCTGCTGACCTGAGGGTATAAAGCGGACCTGAGGTTGACAACTGGAAGGGGAAGATCAGCCAAGCTGAAGTTTCCTGAGAGTTCTCAGCTGCAGACAAATTGAAAAATCACAGGCCAAGCTCTCCTTTACAACTCCTGCCTCTAAATTGGAACTCTTCCCCATTAAAATACAGCCTTGTCCTGTGTCTAGTCACTTGGAAAGATTGTCTCAACTCTGGGCCCCGTGTCAAGTTTGAATCAGTCCAATGGTGGGGGAGGTGGGCCCAGCCGGGAAACATAGCCTTGAAAATAAAACAAAGTGGAAAGTGGGACAGGAGATGGAAGGAGGAGCTCATTTGCAGCCTTCGGGTTGCTCTATTTCTTACTTGAGCTTTACTTACTTTTCATTTTTCCAGACTCCAGGACCCCAGGGGAAAATCCAAGGGATAGAAGTGCATGGTATGTAGTTTGAATCTAGGTTCAAGGTTGAGTGCTTTCTGTTTTGACAGAGAAGCCACTTACCACATGTGATCACTAGGCAGAATCTCAGCGTGTTATATGTAGATGGGATCTCAGAACCAAGCCCCATCCTTGTTCCAGATAAGCAAATACATGTTCATTCATTCAAAATATATAATCTCTGATGGTTTACCATGTACAATGCGGAGGATATAATAAACTAGACAAGAGCCTACTGTGATGGGGTGTCCAACCAAAACAGATAAGAAAACACACTAGGTCATATCCCAGTCACAAGGGCACTAAAGAACGCAAAAACAGTGACATGATAGAACATACTGGCTGGGGATGGATAGCTATTTCAGATTAGGATAGTCTGGGAAGACCTCTCTGAAAAGGAAACAACGACATAAGACCTGGAGAGAGAGAGAGAGAGAGAGAAAGAGAGAGAGAGAGAGAGAGAGAGAGAGAGAGAGAGAGAGAGAGAGAGAGAGAGAGAGAAGGAACCAATGAAGAGCAGTGCAGAATGGCATTGCAGG